CCCATCTCAGAGACCCACAGGTAGGAGAGAACTGACTCCTGCAGGCTGTCTGACCTCCACACATGCACATATAAATCAATAAAGCAGAACAATGAAAGTAAACACACAAAGAAGTAGTGTTATTCTATATAGCAAAGGAAACAACAAAGACACAACCCACTAACTGGACTAAGAAAAACTATGCAAATTATGTACTTGTCAAGAGACTTCATGGGCTAGGAATCAGGGCTTGTCTAGTATGCATAGGATCTGGATTTGATCTCCAGCAATGAGGGAGTTAAAACTTAGTTCTCAAAAGACAGTAGACATACAAATAGTTAGTAGCTATATGAAACATTCTTGGGCTGGGGAGATGGCTCAGTGGGTAAAGTGCTTGCATGAGGATTTGAGTTCTATCCCAGAATCCATGCCAGTGCAGCTGCTTGTGTTGTGATCCCAGCAATGGGTTGGAGACAGGTGGATCCTGGGGGTCCCAATTCAGCCAGCCCGTTTAAATCAGCAAGCTCCAGGCCAATGAGAGACGTTACATAAAAAACAAGGTGAATGGCACCTGAGAAACAACACCTGTGGTTGACCTCTGGCCTCACACATGCAAGCATGAACTTGTACACACGTGCATACGAATTTGTACACTCTCGACACAAAAATAATGATCACTAGTCATTAGAGACATGGAAAAGAAAACAGCAATTAAGTATCTCTTCACCCCAGGAGCGATGTTACTAACCAAAAAGAGGTAACTATCAGTGAGGACATGGAACAAAGAGAACCCTTCTGTGGCATTAATGAGAATAAATTAGGACAGACTTTATGAAAACAGTACACAGGCTATTCAAAAAATTAAAGGCAGAGCTACCACATGATCCAGAAATGCCACTAATTGGTTATGCACTAAAAGTAAATGAAATGGGCATGCAAAGAGACCCCACACTTCCATGTTCACTACAGCACAATCAACAGTAGCTAAGACAAGGATGCGACCCAAGTGTCCATCAGCGGTCAAATGCATCAGAGGACAAATCCCTATGAAGTGGCATTTTGTGTAAAAGGAGGTGAAAACAGGGAGGACATTATGCTAAGTGAAATAAGCCAGGAACAGAAAGTCAAAAACTAGACGATTCTACTTATAATACATATGGATTCAAACAGTCTAACTCATGGATGTAGAGAAAAAAAAAAAAAACAGTGGCTGGTTACCACAGTCTGGGAGAAAATCATTCAAAGGATACAGTTTCAGTGTATATGAGGAAGATGATCATTTCAGAAATCTACTGCCCAGCATACTGACATAGTGACTAGCCACATGCTGTCTGTTTCAAAATCACCAAAAATCTATCCCCTTTAAAAGTTCTTTGTATCTTGATAGCCTGGTGTGGTAGCACACACCTTTAATCCCAGCACTTGGGAGGCAGAGGCAGGTGGATCTCTGTGAGTTTGAGGCCAGCCTGGTCTACAGAGTGAGTTCCAGGACAGCCAGAGCTACACAGAGAAAACCTATCTTGAAAAACAAAAACCAAAAACAAACAAATAAAAAATCAACATCAACAAAAACACCACAGACACACATGGAAATGCAATCAGCCATAAAGAATGAGGTCATGATAAGTGCAGGAAATGGGCGGAAGTGGACATCGGCATGCCAAGTCAAATAACCCACGCAAGACATATATGGTCTGTTTTCCTCACATGCAGGATCTAGGTTTAAATTTCTATGCATGTATTTATGTAGGATATTAAAGTAGAAAGGAGGCTGAGAGGATGAGGTCTGCGGTAGAAGGGCATGAGAGGGTAAAGGAATATGAAGATATGTATGAGGACAGCAAAGGAGAAAGTCAGTGTGGCTCTGGAGGAAGGGAGAGGCAGCAAATGAGAACAAAGTATTCACACATGAAAATATAAGAAGACCCATTTGTATGTTCAGTAAATCAAAAATGTCAATAATATTAAAAATATTAGGTAAGCCGGGCGATGGTGGAGCACGCCTTTAATCCCAGCACTCGGGAGGCAGAGGCAGGCAGATCTCTGTGAGTTCGAGACCAGCCTGGTCTACAGAGCTAGTTCCAGGACAGGCTCCAAAGCCACAGAAAAACCCTGTCTTGAAAAACCAAATATATATATAAAATCATATTTATGAAGNTATATGGTAGATGTAATGCCTTTACATTGGAAAGAGGCTTCAGAATATTAACATGCAAACAAAAGGAAGAGAAGGGCAGGCAGAACAGCTCATTTTTTCCCTCACACACCCTAACTGATACATGTGTGCTGAAAATAGGCTTTATTTCTACAAATGCACAGTGTCTTCCACTCAGATCTTTCATCCACATCTGGGGACGGGGATGTGTCTCCCATTTACACCTTCTATCCATACATCACATTCACATATGGATGTCTTCCACTCACATCTGGGGACCGAAGAAAAACAGGGACGTGGGACTTGGAACTTATTGGCAAATACAAACCTGCACTTCCAAGATATGTCAACATTTTCATATAATGAATAACTGTTGCAAGGAGGAGCACCAAATAACTATTTGAGTTATAAAATTAAAGCGTCAAAAATATAAGGCAGTTGAAGCCTGTGTCTTGTTTTCATTTTGCATTCTTACGCAACACTGGGTTTGACACAGGCACTTACAGGTAACAAAAATCATTTTTTTTTTTTTTGTAAGTAGTCAAGAGGGCGCAAAGGAGCTCATCAGGTCTCTGCTTCACTAGAAGACGGAAGAAGAGGTGACAGCCACACACGGTTCCCCCATCGCACAGGTCATTGCCGCTCACTCAGGAAACTTACTCGGAGGACGCTCTTAGGGATTTTGGCCAGATCCTCAACATATTCTTTACAGACGTAACACAAGAAATGCTGAAAGGCAACAACAATGCGGAAGACCACGTCAGCAAGGCAGCAGCCGGGTCTGGAAGGTTCAGGCGCTCGATTCCGGGCGAAGTGCAGTACCCACACAGACCCAGCAGCGGGGCGGCCTAGGCCCTTCCCGTCCCGTCCTCCCCTGCTCACCCTCACGAACACCACCACGGCCCGACGCTCCCGGAACAGCGCACCGAACGACACCCGTCTCCCGGACGCATCCAGCACCGGCAGCTCAGCCACGGCAGCTGCCAGGGGCTGCCCGGGTTCTGTGTCCGAGCCGGTTGGGGTCAGGACTGGACCCGCGCAGCCGCTGACCTGCCGCGTCACCGGCGCGGCCATAGCGGGGGTAGGGCGACCGCTGGGGTCCTCCCGGGGCCGGGGGACGCGTGGCCCAGCGGGATGGGGTGGGGCGCAGCGGGATGGGGCGGGGCTGAGGCTCGGAAGCCGATCCACACGGGAGGATGCCGGGGTCGCGAGAGTAGACAGGGGCTACTTCTCAGGGAGCTGAGCCACGCGAGACAGGATGGATCCTTAGGGGGCGTGGCCATTAGGGGCGGGGCTACAGGAGCAGGGGCGGGGCGAAGGACTAAGCTCTAAATCCATCTTTCACAGTTTTTAGTGCCAATGGAGAGGAGCATGCTATGGGAGGTGAAGTTGTGGTAGTACCTCTTTCTACTGCCTACTAAACCTCCCAGTTAAAAACGGGGCTGGAAAGATAGATCACTGGTTAAGAGCGCTGGCTTCTCTTGTAGAGAACCAGGATTCTGTTTCCAGCATCCACATAGCAGCTCGATTGTAACTTCAGTTCCGGGGTATCTGATACTCTATCCCAGCCTCCATAGGCACAGCTCAGAGGAGTGTCTACTGCTCCTGCAGAGGACCCAAGTTAGATTCTAAGGTCCCACATCAGACCTTCACAACCGCCTGTAACTTCTGACTGCCTCCTTGAGGACTCAGGCATCTGCCCTCACAGAATGGAAGGAAGGGAAAGGGGAGGGATTAAAAATAGAGCAATTCATTTAAAAATTTAAGTTAATGGCCAGGAGGTGGTGGCACACTTTTTTAATCTCATCACTCAGGAGGCAGAGACAGGCAAATCTCTGTGTTCTAAGCCAGCCTGGTCTGCAGAGCAAGTTCCAGGACAGCCAGAACTACATAGAAAAACCCAGTCTTGAATAAACAAACAAGCCAACAAAATTTAAGTTACATTTTCTTTATTTTGTATTCATGTATGTGTTGTCCTGTGTGGGTATGTGTTGAAATAAGTGCGGCGGGGCTGCGTCCCCAGCACCCTGGCCGCCTGCTAGCTCATGCCCGAAATAACAACACACAAACTATATTCATTTAAACACTGCTAGACCCATTTCTATCTAGCCTCTTCTAGGCTAATTCTCACATATTAATTTAGCCCATTTCTAATCATCTGTGTAAGCACCCCAAGGTGCGCTTACCGGGAAGATTCTAGCCTATGTCCATCCTGGGTTGGAGGAGCTTCATTGCGTATGCCCAGGAGGCGAAGCAGGGCCTCTGCTCCAGAGAGCAGAGCTGTCGAGTCTGACCTCACTTCCTCTTCCTCCCAGCATCCTATTCTGTTTACTCCACCCACCTGTGTTCTAACCAATAAAATGGGCCAAGCCAGTTTCTTTATTAGCCAATGACCTTCCTCCATCAGGTATGAGCTTTTATTTATTTGCTTGCAGCATTCAAAGAAGGGCTAGGCCCTTCCTAAGGACAAGTACGACTGGGTTCTGGGTGGTACCCCACTCACACATCAATCTTTGTCTCCATTCAAAGTAGCAAAGGAACAATAAAAGACCAGCTGACTGGTAGTTGTCCCCAACATGAGTGTGCACAGCTCCTCAGGATCTAAGCCGGCACCAGTGAAGGGTTAACTTCACCAGAGCTCACAGCACACATCCTATCACGTTTATTACAGATTCCACCCTGGTCTCTTTGAGAACACTGATAACACAGTACACTCAAATGATAGCCCGCAATGACAGGACAGTCTGCATTCCCTCGTTCCTCCCCCCTGAGTGCCCAGGTGTCCATCTAAACTGGTAAGAGGCTTGTTCAGTTGAAGGCAGAAATCCTTGCAACAGTGTCCTAGATTCACAAAGTTAGCAGGAGCTCACTTCAGAAGCTTCAGCTTCTTGGCCTTTTGGCGTTTCATTTCTTCCTTCTCACGTCTCATCTCCTGGAGGTCCTCTTGCTTTCCTAGTCTTAAACTCTTGGCTTCCTCCTTCTGCTGCTCCTGCCAGCTGCTCTCCATGTTACGTAAAGCATAGTCACTTTCATCTTTATACTTTCGTCGGTCATAGCCAAAGATTTCCCGAATGTGCTTGGATATGTCTTCCTGAGGGTCTCCTTCATCTTCGATGAAATCATCCATGTCTGGGTCATATTCATCATCACTTTCTTCTTTATACTCTCGAAGCCTTTTGTAGCCAGTAGGGAAGGGGAGCCTTTGAGGACCTGGGACAGATCTGTAGCCAGACGGCAGAGGCTTCATTCCATTTATCTGTCCATTGCTTGACCGACTAATAATATTCTTTGAAGAAATTGTTTCTGAGACAACAGTGCACTTGGGTTTTATGGGGAGGCCTGGGCTACTAACTGTGCGTCCAGGTCCCAAGTTGCTGACTGGTCTTCCAGGGCCTGAACTGACAGTCCTTCTAGCTGGACCGGAACCACTTATAGACCTCCCAGGGCCACCGACTGACCGTCCAGGGGGACCTAGGCTGCTCACTGGTCGTCGGATGTCATGTGGACTGTTTACAGGCCCCCTAGGACCTCCAGAACTGCTCGAAGATTTTCCAGAACCACCAGGGCTACTGATGGGTCGCCCAGGGCCAGTGGAGCTGCTGGCAGGTAGTCCAGTACCATTTGTGCCATTGACTGTTCGTCCAGAGGGATGCGGATTGCTGGCCAGCTTTCTGATCCCACTGATGGATTGCTCGGGTCCTGAGCTGGAGCTGCTGTTCTGGCGCCTGGGCATGGCGCCAGAACTAACTGTGGGCCAAGCTGTCCCTGGGCTAGGTCGTCCAGAAGCTGAGTCGGTGTTGCTGCCTGGCTGTCTGATACCTGGACTCTTAGCTTCGTTGTGTGGGAAGACTGTGGGCCCAGGTTTGGAATGACTGGGATGAGAAGGAAGAGGTTTTCTGGCTTTCTGCTCAGAAGCAGACTTCTGAGCCCCACTAGCAGAAGTCTTTGGGACACTTGAGGAACAGGTGCTGGGCTGGAGCTTTCCAGCCCCATGGGAGACAGGTCTGTTGTGTGAGGCCTGGGAGCTACTGCCAGATTCGGCCTTGATCCTCTCTCCTGGAGTGGATTTGCATGGAGACAAAGCTACTTGCTTCTCATTGCCTGTGCTGGGTTTGGAAGTCTTCTCAGCACGAGGAAACAGCAATCCTTTGGGAAAAGGCTGCCTGTCCCCAGAACCCTTGCTGGGTTTTGTGCCCTCACTGTCCCTATGAGAGGGAGACACAGGCAGAGGGAATTTGACTTCTGTCTCAGGTTTCTTATTCTTATGCATTCGTCCAAGAAACTCTCGCTCCCTGAGTTCCTTTGCAGTCAAGGGCCTCTCTTCTGCTTTTCTTACTGCCTTGATCTCCACTGGTTCGAACTGCTTCTTCTCAGCTAACCTCATTAATTCAGTGAAGGTCATGGGGGGAGGGGCCCTTTTAAGGGGGGCCTTTGGTTGGCTTTCAGCTTTGAGAGGCTCTTGGTCCTCCTTGAATTCCTGCTCCAACTCACCCTGACTGTAGTCTGGGAACTCCCCTGTCTCCACCTCATACTCTGGGTCAGTGCCCTGGTTGGGGCAGCTTTCTGCTCTCTGGCTCTTCTTTGTCTTTTCCTTAACAGGAATCCCGTCGTAGCCATAAAAATTGTCCTTTGTCCTTCTGGCCATAGCTCTGGCTCTCCTGTCATGTTTGAGCTCAATTCGTTTTCTGACTAGTTCTTCTCGCCTCCTTTTCTCCTCTAAGGCGGTCCGCCTAAGCTCCTCTTCTTTCCTCCGCAGGAAAGCTTGCACAGCTGCCGGCTGGACACCTTTCTCCTTTGGATCTTTCTTAGGAGGCCCCACTGCCAAGCTGTATCTTTTCGGAACATGGTTGACACCTTGTCCCTTGGAAGCAATCAGGAGGATTTCTCTGAAGTCCATGTCTGCCCGAAGAGAAAAATCCGGCTGGGCCCGGGCCTCGGGACGCAGGGGACGCGAGTCTTGTCGCTGGCAGTGCGAATTCTAATTGGTTTTAATAGTAAAAACCCGGAGTCAGATATTAGGGCATGAAAGCTAAAAGATCAGAGAAATAGAGCAGGCCACTGGTTCTTACCTCCACAAATCTTCAGACCGAATACAGTATCCTCTCTCTACAAGTGCTCAGACTGAATGCTGCCTCTAGGAAACTTCAGACTGAAACACAAGCCCCTGTCTCCCCTCTGAATTTATACCCTCTCTAAGCCCCGCCCACCCGTATCACCACCTCCTGACTCCACCTCCCGAGTGCTGGGATTAAAGGTGTGAGCCGCCACCATTAGTATTTGTTTCTCTTTTAGGTGCATTCCAACTCATGCAGCCTAGGATGGCCTTGGGCTCTCAGAGACCTCAGAGTGCAGCGATTAAACGTGTGTTCCACCGCTACCTGGCCTCTATGGCTAACTAGTGGCTAGCTCTGCACTCTGACCTTCAGGCAAGCTTTATTTGTTAAAACAAAATATCACCACATCTCCTGATAGCTATTATCCATTGAGCTGTTTCAATGGCCTTTTAAAAAAAAACACTTTAACTATAAAGATTGGATTCTGAGTGCTGGTGACTTTGGGGCACAACTCTGAAGAAGGCCTTGACCTGTATGTGTTCTCCATAACCCCAGCCCCTGAAGTCAAGTTCTTTCTGAGGATTGTTGACAGGTTAGAACAAAGGAGAATCACAACTCACCGTTCAGAAGTCAAATAAAATATAACAGCCTATGAATTGATCCAGCATGGTAGAAAACATGAACCAGAATTCCTGTTATAGTTCACATATGGGGTGATTCACTAAATAAAAAGATAAAACCCAACATGGTATGAAGAACCAGTTTTTTTTTAATTTTTATTTATTTATTATGTATACAGTATTCTGTCTGTGTGTACGCCTGCAGTCCAGAGGAGGGCATCAGGCCCCATTACAGATGGTTGTGAGCCACCATGTGGTTGCTGAGAATTGAACTCAGGACCTTTGGAAGAGCAGGCAATGCTCTTAACCGCCAAGCCATCTCTCTAGCCCCCAAGAACCAGTTTTGTTTTGAGACAGGATTGTCTTTGTGTAGCCGTGGCTGTTCTGGAACTCACTCCGTAGCCCAGGCTGGCCTCTAACTCACAGAGATCCACCTGCCTCTGCCTCCCACTTGCTGGGATTAAAGGTGTGCACCAACCACCTCTTGTTGAAAACCAGTTTTTACCTACAACTGCCATATACAATATTTAATGTTTGTCATAGGGTCTGGCAAGGTATCTGAGCTGATTGAGGTCAGATGGGAGGAGAAAATACTCCCAGAACTGCTGACCTTTGACCTCTACACAGGTGCTGTGGCGGAGGTATGCATAAGCAATGCTTTATAAATGACTGTTAGACAGACGACTCTGTCTTACCAGAGACATCCAGTAGGTGACACTGTTTACATTTGTACATGGAAGACTTATAGATACACGTTTGTTCACGTACATTTTGCTTTGTGAAGCCCTTAACTAAAAATGGTCTTTGGGGACTTACTTCCTTATTTGTCAATTACACTCATTGTGGAAAACGTATTGTCAAAAATATTCACTTCAGCCGGGCAGTGGTGGCGCACGCCTTTAATCCCAGCACTCGGGAGGCAGAGGCAGGCGGATCTCTGGGAGTTCGAGGCCAGCTTGGTCTACAAGAGCTGGTTCTGGGACGGACACCAAAGCTACAGAGAAACCCTGTCTCAAAAACCAAAAAAAAAAAAAAAAATTTGATGGTTGATGGAGGAAGGTCGTTGGTTAATTAATAAAGAAACTGCTTGGCCCTAATAGGTTAGAACATAGGTGGGTGGAGTAAACAGAACAAAATGCTGGGAGAAAGAGGAAGTGAGGTAAGATACCTCAGACATACGCCATGTAGCTCGTCACTGGGGCAGACTCGATGAAGCTCCAACCCAGGATGGACGTAGGCTAGAATCTTCACGGTAAGCGCACCTTGGTGCTACACACATTAATAGAAATGGGCCAGGCAGTGTTTCAATGAATACAGTTTGTGTGTTGTTATTTCAGGATATAAGCTAGCCAGGCGGCCAGGAGCCGGGCTGTGGGAAGAGGCCCTCAGCTCATACTACAGAATGGTGCCCGATGTGGTAGCTGCAATTTCTCGGGTCTGCTCCGCTTGCTAGAGGCAAGCAAGCACTCTCATCTAAGAGAGGCTTCCTGACTCAGCTTCAGCTGCAAAACCCTGCAGCTCTTAAGAGGTCCTGCCACAAAACACTTAAATGGTGTTGATAAAAGCTGACTGAATGCTTGTTTATTTTCAGCTGTAGCAGGAAAAAAGTTGTGCTGTTTTAAAATGCCAGTTTTCTGGGCTGTCCTGCCAGGGCAAACTCTGACTCAGACTCAAGCAGGTAGTCTGACTGAATGTGGTCTGTGAGCAGAATGCTGCAGTTTGCTTGCTGGCAGGGACCTTAAAACGCCATAGAGTTGTGGCGGTAAACGTGGCTACAACCGGTCTCTCCACCATGAGGCTGGATCTAGCTGCCAAAGCCAAGGCTTTAATCCTACCCATATTGCTCCGTAATTTAAAGGCTCATGTGTTCAGAAAAAGAGAGAGATACAGTAAAGAGAAATTTAAAAACAAAGAAAACCTCTAAATGATTTACAGTGTGTTGAAAATATATGCAGACTAAAAGTTAAAGTTCTTAAAGTAAAAAACAAAATAGTTGGGTGTGGTTGGACACACCTTTAATCCCAACACTTGGAAGGCAGAGGGAGATTGACCTCTGTGACTTCAAGGTGTGGTAGCACACGCCTTTAATCCCAATGCCTGGGAGGCAGAGACAGCCAGATCTCTGAGAGTTCAAGGACATCTTGGTCTTAAGAGTTATTCCAGGTCAAAGATATACAGAAAACCTGTCTCAAAAAGTAAAAATAAACAAAATAGTTAAAATAAAGCCTTAGGTGGGTGGAGTAAACAGAACAGAATGCTGGGAGGAAGAGGAAGTGAGGTAAGACTCCTCAGACAGATGCCATCTCTCTTCTCTGGGGCAGACGTGATGAAGCTCCAACCCAGGATGGACATAGGCTAGAATCTTCCTGGTAAGTGCACCTTGGTGCTACACACATTAATAGAAATGGGTTAGGCAGTATTTAAATGAATACAGCTTGTGTGTTGTTATTTTGGGGTATAAGCTAGCCAGGCGGCCAGAGCCGGGCTGTGGGAAGACAGCTCATACTACAAAAATTCACGTCGACCAGTTATTTCTCAGCGAATCCCACGGGGTCACCCAAGCACTGCTGTCTTCTCCAGTCACCTCGTTAGCACCCATCACGATCTAAGTACTGTGTAATTCATCCATTCACTTTTGTATCTACTAAAACATGACACTTTCCTGAGCGGATCTGTCTCAGTCACTGCTCTGCCTCCCACCACAACTAAAATACCCCTTGGTACATAATGGGCAATCAGTGGTCTCCCGTTAAACAGATGGCAAATAAAACAAACACCTCATTCCTTCCTTTGACTTAAGAAGTAAGGTTAGGGACAGTATCGGGACAATGAACCACAAGGAATAAAACATCTACAAAATAGACTTGATGTCAAAATTTATTTTTTTTCTTTGTGTGTGTGTACACATGTGTGCAAATGCACATGAGTGTGAAGGTCATCCCTGGTTGAGTAGGTGGATCCCTGTGAGTTCAAGGCTAGCCTGGTCTACAAGTGAATTCCAGGACAGCCAGGAATTACACAGAGAAACCCTGTCTGGAGAAACCAACCCCACACAAACAAAAAGAGGAGAGAGAGAGAGAGAGAGAGAGAGAGAGAGAGAGAGAGAGAGAGAGAGAGAGAATTAAGGTTTAACTTCAACTACTAAAGATGTGGAGAGTTTTACTCCTAATAATTATTCAGGCACCCTTCTTTAAAAATGGCATTAAAGCATGATATCCAAGGTGAGACTTATAAGCCAGATTTATTTTATTATTTTTTAATTTATTTGGAGTTTTAGGGGTGGAGTTAGAAGTGTCCTCTGCTCACATTTGGAGGTCAGAGAACAACTCTCCCCTTTCAGATTGTTTTGAAGTAGAGTTTTGTGCGTTTCCTCCCCTGCATCTACTCAAGGGTAGTTGACTCATGAAATTTCAGCTGATTTCCTTTTATCCAGCTCCCATCATCTCACAGCTGGGATTACAGATCCTTGCCACCATAGCCTTCATTTGAAGGTGTTTCCAGAATGTAACTGGGGTTATAAGCATTGTGTGGCAAGTGTTTTTTCCAGTTAAGCCGTCAGAGTCCAGTTCTGCTGACTTCTGCCCAGGGTTCAGTCAGGTTGCCTCAGCGTGGCGAAAGGGATCTTAGGCTAGCTCTAATCTGAGGGAAAGGACTCACAGGCTTGCCCTTCCAGTCAGGTCTCTTTCTTGTTCTGCTTTAATTCTGGTTTTCTTGCCCTAATTGCCTATAATTTCTTTGCTCTAATTCTGTCTCAATTCTAATTCCAGTTACAAATCTCTTTTCTAATTTGTTTTTGTTCCAATTATTTACATTTTCCTTCTTCTTCCCTTTCCTACATTCTTTATCTTTCTACATTCTTTACTCTTCCAATCTTATTTCTTCTGCTGTTACAAATTCCTAAGCATATATATTCATTAGTAACTTGTTAGTAATAAAAAACTACAAGGAAAATTCTCAGGGATACAGGCATCCTTTGAAGATATGTAGCAAAACTTAATCAGCTAGTTTGTAGCTAACCACAGCCGCAGCTGTGGCGAGGTTCCAGCCCTCTCTTTTTTTTTTTTTTAAATATTTATTTATTTATTATGTGTACAATATTCTGTCTGTGTGTATGTCNTATTTATTATGTGTACAATATTCTGTCTGTGTGTATGTCTGCAGGCCAGAAGAGGGCACCAGACCTCATTACAGATGGTTGTGAGCCACCATGTGATTGCTGTTAATTGAACTCAGAGCCTTTGGAAGAGCAGGCAATGCTCTTAACCACTGAGCCATCTCTCCAGCCCATCCAGCTGGATGGGGCTGCTACAGGTTACAAAGGGAGAAAACTAAGCCATTAAGAGATTTAAGAAAAAGGCAAAGAATACATGCTTTATTATACATTCCTTAAGTGTGATTAATAGTATCTGGACATGGTGAGTCAATAAACAGTCTTTTTTTTTCCTCTGTTTTTTTTAATTGATATTTATTGAGCACTACATTTTTCTCTGCTCCCCTCCCTGCTTCCCCCTCCCTCCTTCAATCCTCCCCCAAGGTCCCCATGCTCCCAATTTACTCTGGAGATCTTGTCTTTTTCTACTTTCTACTTCCCATGTAGATTAGATCTATGTAAATCTCTCCTAGTGTCCTCATTGTTGTCTAAATTCTTTGGGATTGTGGTTTGTAGGATGGCTTTCTTTTTACTTTATGTTTAAAAACCACCTATGAGTGAGTACATGTGATAATTGTCTTTCTGTGTCTGGGTTACCTCACTCAAAATAATGTTTTCTAGCTCCAATCATTTTCCTGCAAAATTCAAGCTGTCGTTATTTTTTTCTGCTGTGTAGTACTCCATTGTGTAAATATACCACATTTTCCTTATCCATTCTTTAGTCGAGGGGCATTTAGGTTGTTTCTAGGTTCTGGCTATGACAAACAAAGCTGCTATGAACATAGTTGAGCACGTATCTTTGTGGCACGATTGAGCATCCTTTGGATATATATCCAAAAGTGGTATCACTGGGTCTTGAGGAAGGTTGTTTCCTAATTTTCTGAGAAATCGCCACACTGACATCCAAAGGGGTTGTACCAGCATGTATTCCCACCAGCAATGCAAGAGTGTTCCCTTTCCACCACAATCTCTCCAGCATAAATTGTCATCAGTTAAACAGTCTTTTTTTTTTTTTAAATCACCTGAATTTCAGGACCTAAACAAAGACAGTTATTCTAGTGCATCGAAAGTTGGTACAAAGTGTTAATCACTATTTTGAGTCAGAGCAGGGAGGTGTCCATGCAGGAAACTTAGGGCAACTTATGAGCCATTGATCTCCCCAAGGACTGCTGTACAATAAGGACAGACACCTGTAATACCTCTCTAACTTGTCATAAATCTTTGAAGGACTTAAACCTAGCAAGGCCAGACATCTGCAACTCCACTCTGTGAAACTTGCTGTTGTGATCCCTCCACAAGGACTTGTGTCCGGCCAAATCATACTGTCAGGTCAGAAAGTTAATTGTAGAGAACAAACTTCTAAGTGTTTTTGTTTGTTTGTTTGTTTGTTTATTGCAGTGAGGGGCAAAAGGTTTGACTGTCTTACTTGCTAGACTTACACAGTTTGGGGGAAAAGTCACCCTACTAACACAACACAGGAAAAGTATGCCTGGCAAATGAGGAATACACTGCTTTGGAGTCCCAAAGTTGAGCTAGAAGGGGGCATGTTAACACACAGGAGAATTTGCAGTTAGAGACAGCCAAAAGGAGTATTTTTCATGGGCCTTGCCTGTGTGAATTTAATCTCCATCTGATGTGTAAATCTACATGTCAGCTGACCTATTGCGCAACCATGACTAAGCCATTTCTTTGGTCCTCATTTTATTCTGAAGGGGGATCTTGTATTTGTCAGACCTGGTTGTGGCATACATCACAGGCATCCCAGTTCCAGCTGTTGTAACTTAAAAAAACACCGCTAAGAGAAATCACACCATGCAACAGGGTTTCCATGGGAGGTTTATTGGAAGAGCAGAGAGAAGGGTTAGAGAAGGGGACATAGAGGGGGTCAGAGACCAGTCCCTGGGGACAAGAGCGGCCGAAGAGGAAGAGAGAATAAGAGAAAGAGATGGGAGGTTGGCAAGGCCCACCTTTTAAAAGGGAACATAGTGAATGTGCACAGAAGTGCTCTTAGTGGCTACAGCTGAAAAGTATCCGGTTAGGACCTGAGGGCAGGCTAGTGCAGATGCCTAAATACTAATACCGGCAGTCACGTGAGTGGGTCACGTGAGTGGGTCACGTGAGTCGGTCATGTAAGTGAGACCTACATGAAGTGGAGATTGGAAATATTAGAGTGGCTACATGCATGGAGGAAAAATAAAATTATCACTTACAAACAGAATAATAACTCCATTATTTGTGAGAATCATCTAATAAAAAATGATTTCCCCACCGTGCCTGGGGAAATCCCAGTACCCAGACAGACCAACTTGGTTACAAAACGAGTTCCAGGACAGCAAGAGCTTCACAGAGAAACACTGCCTAGAAACAAACAAACAAAACAAAACATTCCATTTAGAAGGGGTTTCCATAGTCTACTGAAAGAACCAGGAAGCTCTGTGGATTCTTTGATATGTCCTGCTGGTAGCTTTTGAACAAAGCGTTTGGTGCATTCATATTCAATATGGGTTCTCCTGTAGGAATCCTGTTTCTCTGTGTGTCGATAACAAGAACTGTTTGCTTTTGTTTGTTTGGGGGGGGATGGTTTCTCTGTGTAGCCTTGGCTATCCTAGAACTTGCTTTGTAGGCCAGGCTAGCCTCAAACTCACAGAGATCCACCTGCCTCTGCCTCCCGAGTGTGCGACACCACCACCCGGCAGGAACTGTTTTCTTACAAACAGACTTTCAAGTGTTTTTTCCTGTCAAAATCTTCTTAGCTCAGTGGATGTTTCTTTTGTCAGAAAGGTTTTCCAGTCATTATATAACCAGGATATCCTCTCTTGCTGAATTCTCTGGTATACATTTAAAGCTGACCCATACAATTGCATTCATAAGAGTTCTTCCCACTACGTATTCTTAGGTTTGATTTCTGGCCAAAAGTTTTCACACATTCCTTACACTGGAAGAGTCTCCTCCCCTGTGTGAATTCTCTGATGGACACTAAGGATTGCCTTTTGTACAAAACTTTCCCCACATTCATTAAGCTTAAATAGTTTTTCTCCAGTGTGGATTCTTTGGTGCCCTGAGGGTTGATATCCGGGCAAATTTTTCCCATAGTCTGACATTTAAACAGTTCCTTTCCTGTGTAAATCCTTTGATGTTGAAGAAGATACGTTTGCCAGAAGGGTTTTCCCCTGCCATTACAGTGCTGTTTTTAATCCACCATGAATTCTTTTATTTATTTTGATGTTTGATTTCTGACTAAAAGGTTTCCACATACATTATACATTGAAAGGATGTCTCTACTATGTGAATTCTATGATGATCTCTGAGGCTGATTTCTGGACAAATGTTTTCCCACACCTACTACATCTATATGGTTTCGCTCCTGTGTGGATTCTCTGATGTCCCTGAGAACTGACTTCTGGACAAATGTTTTCTCACATTCGTTACATTTATATGGTTTATCTACTGTGGTGTGACTTCTGGGAGAAAGCCTTTCCACATTCATTACATGCAAATGGTTTCCTGCCTCTGTGAGTTCTGTGATTTTGCATGAGATGTCCTTCCTGACAGAAGGATTTTCCACAACCGTTGCATTTGTCTGGATTTATCTCACCATGAATCCTTTGGCGTATTTAGTGTAATGCCCGAAAGGGCATATTTTCATAGCAGCTAGAGGACTTATCCTCAGTTTGAGTCCAGTCATTAGGTTCTAACGCACTCTCCTCCTGTGAAAGTTTCCTGAAGTCGAATGATGTGTGAATGCCTACAGTTATTCCCACACGCAATGCATTCATGGTGTTTCAGACTCAGGTTCAATTAATTGTCTCCCTCCAGAGCTGACTTTTTAGAGGATTTCCCACACTGGTAAGGACAAGGATGTTTCTCTGTGCTCCTTCTTCTGTGGTCAGAGACAGTTGTCTTACCATAGTGCTTCCTATATTCATCTTCCTTGCAGGGTTTCTCTTCTGCATGAGAACTCTTTTTTTTTTTTTGGTTTTTCGAGACAGGGTTTCTCTGTGGCTTTGGAGCCTGTCCTGGAACTAGCTCTTGTAGACCAGGCTGGTCTCGAACTCACAGAGATCCACCTGCCTCTGCCTCTCAAGTGCTGGGATTAAAGGCGTGCGCCACCACTGCCCGGCTTCTGAGGTGTAGTTTTAAATGGAGCATCACGGAGGCCTTGTGTAAATATGACACAGTTAAGGAAGGTCTTGCTGCTCTTGCAGAGGGCAGCTCACATCACCTGAACTCCAGGTCCAGGGGCAGGAATGGTAGGATAAAAAGGGTAGATTATCGAATCTACTTTTAAACTAAAAGGCAACTAGTCTTAACTGTTTTACATTCATCTGGATTTTCATATATTGTTGGGGGCTGTGGACCCCCAGACCCTGAATTTCCTGTAACAACTTCTTATACTTGCAGCTGCTCTGAGCAAAACAACTTGTTTTCCTGTGTTTGCAGCTGCTCTGAGCATGAGACCCTCAGGAGTTCCTGATGGCAGGGGAGTGGTTTCTGCTGGGTTTGGCTGGGGCGTGGCTATCAGTTAAGGATCCCTATATAAGCTGCCCTGGAACACAATAAAGCAGGCATTCTTGGGGAATTCATGAATGACCTAAGTCTGTCTCTGTGTGTATATGTGTGTTCTAATGTTTAGCCCCTTGCCTGGTTTGCGAACTGTCCCATAGTGCAGGCAGTACACCCCAGGTGTAGTACCATAGTACACATAATAGCACAGACGGTACAGTATATTGATACAAATTTAAGGTTATTTTTTCAAATATTTACACCTTTTATTGACATCAGACATTTGAACTTGAACATTTTAAAATCGTGCAGTATGTTATTACATTTGAGATTTTTCTATACATAAATAAGTTAAAATAGCTCATGCGTTCATATGGATACTTGGGGTTCAAAGTCAGGGCTTTGAATTTTGAATTTGTGGTTCTCAGATAAAAGTGATAATAGGATCACAATATTAGTATTTTTAGTTCTTAAGCATAGCATGTGCACATAGTAACAGAGACAAGGCAAAATATAATCAATCTGTGTTGTACATCTAATGAAATTAGTATTGTGTCAGTAAAGTGATATAAGATGGTATATGTGGAAATAAGTGAGTATACACATCAATGTCTTTGGTTTGTCCTTGATTAAAATCAGAATCAACATCCAAGAGGAGGCCACACCGTTTCAACAGGACTTTAAGGGGAATATTAGGAAGTTGGTTGTGCAAGTCTTTGTGAACTGTAAGGGAGGTACTGCCATTCTGCCTTTCTTTAAATGGGTAAGGAAGAGAATCATAATCTGATATACACGGTGTCTGATATTCGCCCTATGTGAAAGTGTCCTTGCACCCCACCATCCCCCTCCAATGACATCACAGCCGAGAACCTCTGTCTTAAGCCATGCTTTCTGGATTTTCATAACAGTATTATAAAATAGGATAAAATATTTTAGAGAGAAGTCAAGTCAGACAATTTACTATAGTAAACAAGCATATCATTTTGCCTCTTAAGTCTTTATAGAAGAGACTGGAGGGATGGCTTAGCAGTTAAGAGCGTTGGCTGCTCTCCCAGAGGTCCTGAATTCAATTCCCAGCAACCATATGGGGGCTCACAGTCATCTATAATGAGATCTGGTGCCCTCTTCTGGCCTGCAGTTGTACATGCAGGCAGAACACTGTATACATAATAAATAAAATATTTTTTGAAAAAAGTCTTTGTAGAGAAGCTTAAATAGCTAGCATCAAGTTTTCATACAGTGGTAGCATCTGCTATCTTAGACCTAAAGTAGATTTTGCTGTGTGGTGTAGTTTATAGGAAAGACGAGGTAGAGTTAAGTATTGTTATGAGTCTATATCAAAGCCATCCTTCTTTTCAAGACTTTATTATGTATGCAGTGTTCTGCCTGCATGTATGCTTGCAGCCAGAAGAGGGCACCAGATCTCAATACAGAGGGTGATAAGCCATGAGCAACCACGTAGTTGCCAGGAATTGAGTTCAGGGCCTCTGGAAGAGCAGTCATTGCTGTGAACCTCTGAGCCATCTCTCCAGTCCCTTAAAGACAGTCATTTCTTAACTTTATTTGAAAATGTCAAGTCAGTGAGATCACAGTCAATTGCCTAGGCAAAACACATCCATTGCAAGATCAGCCTCAGATGGCAAACACAGTTTACAGCTTTCCAAGAACAAACCCGCTTTCCTATAGCACTCATCCCAAAAACCATTATCAAATATTCATTCTTGAGTAGCTGTGAAACTATTTTTTTTGTGTGTCCCAGGCTTTATTTATTATTTAAGAACAAAATGAGTGACAGGCTCATGATCAAAACAGCGTCACTGAACTTCATCTTCCCCACCCTTTTTGTGCTTGCGACCCCTCCTCAGTAAAGGAGCTTCACCCCAAGGCTGTGGTGGCTCCAGGTTCTATCTACCTCTCTCTCCCCTCGCCTCAGCTCACCTCATCCCCGGGCAGGGCTGGCGCCTCAGTTTGAATGCATGGGAGAGCCCAGAACAGCGACGGGAACAGTAGGAAAGGCCTCGCCCTCAGGAAACGGGACTGCAGAGTAGAGTGTGGTCAAGTGGGGGCTCCCATAGCTTGGGGCACCAAAATGGGGCCCTGGGGGTAGAGGAAAAGATACAGGCCCCCCTGGGAAAGGGGACCCGGCAGCCTCATACTCTTCTCGTTGGGAATAATCAGCGCTTGATCGTTTGCCCTTTTGGCGACGGTTACAGAACCACACTCGGACCACATCCTTCTCCAGGCCGAGCTGCTAGGCGATAATGCTTATCTGCTGTAGGGTGGGCTTCGGGCACTGCAGAAACATGCTCTTCAGGTTCCCTCTCACGCCGTTCTCAATGCTCGTCCGCTTTCTCTTTCCAGCCTGCACCTAGGTCTCCGCTTTGCATTGCTCCTGAAGGTTCTCGTTGTTGTCGGCTTCCTCTACCCACTTCTCCAGCAGGGGGCGCAGCTTGCACATGTTCTTGAAGCTGAGCTGCAGCGCTTCAAAGCGGCAGATGGTGGTCTGGCTGAACACTTTTCCAAAGAGCCCCACGTTGGCCTGGGTGTACCCCAAGGTGATCCTCTTCTGCTTCAGCACCTTGGCAAACTGCTCTAGCTCCTTCTGCAGATCTTTCATGTCCTGGGACTCCTCCGGACTTGGTTCCACCTTCTCCAACTTCACGGCACCAGGGCGGATAGTGCCGGGCTCAGGGGAGGCCCCCTCCGAGTTGCTCTCCGCTCCTGCTCGATCCTCAGGCTGCGAAGTCTCCAGGCTAACTTGGGGCACTAGGCCCAGTCCAACCTGAGGTCCACAGTATGCCATCCCTCCACAGAACTCATATGGCGGGGGACAAGGGGAGATCCCCAACACCTCTGAGCCTGGCCCAACCCCTGGCCCGATTCCAGGCCCACTTGGAGGCCCTTGGAAGCTTATCCAAGTCCGAGGGTCCACCCAGCCTGGCTCCAGCCCTCCCGACCCATCACCCCCACTAGGTGGGGGTGGGAAGGCGAAGTCTGAAGCCAGGTGTCCAGCCATAGGGAAGACAGGCACCCCAAGCTGGGGGCCTGTCGGAAGGAGGGCTCACCTAGGGACTGCTTAAACCTCTCTCCCCAGCTGTGAAGCTATTAATAACAATTTCAAATATTAGAGGCAACACTTGCTCATCTTAGTAAACAGGTTTGGATGGCTTAGTTGCAAAAATATAACAAGAGGCAGAATAATGGATTCAAGTCACATTGTGTGATGAGTTTAAGGTGTTATATTGTATATATGTTTCTGCTCTTGTTTGGGGTATTTTTGTATACCGACACAAATTTAAAGTTATTTTGTTGTATTATTGTAGTGGTTTGAATGTAATTGGGCCTCATAATCTCATAGGAAATAGACTATTAGCAGATGTGTCTTTGTTGGAATTTGTGTGCCCTTGCTGGAGGAAATGTGTCACTGCAAGGGTGGGCTTTGAGGATTCCCATGCTTAGGATACCACTGAGTGTCTCAGTCGACTTCCTGTTGCCTACAAGATATAGGACTCTCAGCTGTAACTCCAGCACCACCCCTGCCTGCATGCCTACATGCTCCCTCCCCATCATAGTAGTGGACTGAACTTCTGAACTGTAAGCAAGTTTCCGCAATTAAATGTTTTCTTTATAAAAGTTGCTGTGGTCACCAGGGGGTGGTGGGGCATGCCTTTAATCCCAGCATTTGGGATACAGAGGCAGGCAGATCTCTGTGAGTTCAAGGCCAGCCTGGTCTACAGAGTGAGTTCCAGGACAGTCAGTGCTGTTACATAGAGAAACCCTGCCTCTAAAAACAAAAACGAAACAACAATAAAGTTGCTGTGGTCACGGTGTCTCTTCACAATAATAAAAACCTTAACTAAAACAATATATATAAATATTTTCTACTCTTGCTTAAGGTATTTTTCACATACTGATACAAATGTAAGGTTTTTTTTTTTTTTTACTTTTGTTCAAGGTATTGTACCTATTCATGCTGAGGTCAGAAGTATATATTATATATCAGTGTCTTCCTGTCTCATTTTATTTGAGACAGAGTCTCTTATTGAGTCTGAAACTAATCGTCTTGCTAGGATAGCTGGACTCCTAGAATCTGCGTTTCTCCTAATATTAGGGTTACAGCCACATGTGACCATGACTATATATTTAATGTGGTTGCTGAGGATTCTAATTCAGATCCTCATGCGTGTATGACAAACACTCTATGGAGCCATTTCTCAAGCCTGAGCCTGGATAGTTTTATGTCAATTTGACACAAACTAGAGTCATTTGAGAGGAGGAACCTTGGTGATTGATGGGGGAGGCCCCAGCCTATTGTAGTTGGTGTCATCCCTTGGCTGGGGGTCCTCTATAGGCTCAACCCGCCATGGGGAGCAAGTCAGTAAGCAACTCCCTTCCATTGCTTCTGCATCAGTTTCTGCCTCCAGGTTCCTGCCTGTTTTAATGCCTATTCTGGTTTCCTTCGATGATAGACTACAACGTGGAAATGTGAGCCATATAAACCCTTTCCTCTCCAACTTGCTTTTGGTCATGGTTTTTCATTGCAGCAATAGAAACCTTAACCAAGACAGAGCCATAATGTTACCTAATATAAACAACTTGGTTTTTGTTTGTTTTAATTTTTCAAGACAGAGTTTCTCTGTAGCTCTGGAACCTGTCCTGGAACTTGTTCTGTAGACCAGACTGGCCTCGAATTCACAGAGATTCACCTGTTTCTGCCTCCCAAGTTCTGGGATTAAAGGTGTGCACCACCACTGCACTTGACCAGATGTGGTAGAGCATGCCTTTAATCCTAGCCTGGAGAGGCAGAGGCAAGTGAATCTCTGTGAGTTCCAAACAGACTGGTCAACATAGTGAGTCCCAGGCCAGTCAAAGTTACATAGTGAGACCCTTCTCAAAATTAATTAAAAATTTTTTTTCTTTTTGAGCCAGGGTCTTGCTATGTTGCCCAGGCTGCCCTTAAAGTCTTGGACTTAAACAATTCTCCCAGCTCAGTATTCCAAGTAGCTGAGACCTCAAGAGTACTGCCACACCCAGCATTAGAAAGGTGCGTGTGTGTGTGTGTGTGTGTGTGTGTACAGGGTTTTTCTGTGTCACAGCTCTGGCTGTCCTGGAACTCACTTTGTAGACCAGGCTGGCCTTGAACTCAGAGAGATCTGCCTGCTTCTGCCTCCCGAGTACAGGTATTAAAGGAGTGTGCCACCACCGCCTGGCAGAAGGTTTTAAATTTTTGATAGAGTCAAGTTTATCAATAATTTTTCATTATTTTGACTTTTTGTGTCTTTAGCCCTGTCACATGAGCCTTGCAAAGCAAAGGTATTTGCCCCTAAACTGATAGAGTCAAGTTTATCGATAATTTTTCATTATTTTGACTTTTTGTGTCTTTAGCCCTGTCACATGAGCCTTGCAAAGCAAAGGTATTTGCCCCTAAACTGAGTCTCCTGGGTTTAACAACCACTGCTAGTTCTGTTTATCAGTGTTCAGCAGCTCACCTGGGTGGCTGCAGTTTGAGAATTTCTTCTCTGAAATTCAAGGTGCTTCTCCTTGTTGCAACTTGAAGATCAGTTTGGAGGTAAAGACGCTATTGGCAGTGAAGGCAGAAGCCCAAACTATGAGATCTCTGATCTTCCAAAGTGGGGGAGATACAGATTGGGGAGTGGGTTCCTGAGGGTGTTCAGTAGAATCTATCCCTGGGTATTGACGACACACACATTCTCTGTTGTCTTCCAAGGGCTTAGTTACTCTGGATTCCTGAATCAAACCTTTTGAGTAATATTTGGCATGGTGGCACCTGTGACCACCCAAGTAGTAGGACTGATTTTGAGACCAGCTTAGACTAAACAATTTAACAAAACAATCCTAAGTAACAATGAGACCAGGTGTTTGTGTTACAAGTATTCACGTTGACACATATGTGAGCTGTGCACTTAACCGGTCACCCATGGCAACAAGATGGCTGCGGTTCTCCCCATCACCTTTCTGCACAGGGTCATTTGAGCAAGGCCTATGGCTGTCACGCCCGCGGTCACATCCTCAGATGACACGGAGGCCCTGTAGCAGTTTAATCTGAAAGATTGAGAACGAGACAAACTGTCTACCTCAATCTGTTTTATTTTCCCCTGAAAATGGAGTTGAAAGCCCCACTTGGATACTACATCCTCTGTGCACTGAAGAAGAGACATTGCTTGTCTTTCAAAGCTGTTATTGGGATGACTGGCATTGTCCCTTATACAAAGGCCAACTAAGATCTCTTCCCTGATTTCAATGCTTTAGGTTCCATAGGGCATCTAAATGTGGTTGCTTTGCATCAAACAAATCTTTAAAAAATATATATATTCATTTTTATTTACCTGTGTGTAGGTGCAAGTGTGTGAGGGGTTTGTACATGTGAGTGTAGTACCAGTGAAGGCCAGAAGAGGGAGCTGGAGTCCCAGGAGGTGGATTCCCTAGAGCTGGAGTTACGACACTTGTGAGTTGCCAGATATGAGTTCTAGAAATTCAACTCAGGTCCTCTAGAAGGGCAATAAGCATTCTTTGTTGTTGTTTTGAGACAGGGTTCCTCTGTAGCTCTGGAGCTTGTCCTGGAACTAGCTCACAGAGATCCACCTGCCTCTGCCTCCTGAGTGCTGGGATTAAAGGTGTGTGCCACCACTGCCCAGCAAGAAACAGAGAGAGATACACAAATCTGAGAGTTACTGTCTTTGGAGCTTGTTGCTGGTCTCAGTTCCCAGAAAACATTTGTCCGATGGGATGTGGTGAAGTATGAAGTAGGTCAGAAGTTCACCAGACTTACGACCTTATCCATACCTACAGCTGGCACTTCCCTGAGCTCCACTCCCGAGAACAGCAAGTGATGGACATGCCTCAGGAAGATTATCATTAACACCCCGCCCCTTCTGCTGTTTGGTTTGTCTGTTTGAGGTGGGGTTTCATTGTGGACCTTCTCCTGCCTTAGCCTTCACGGAACCCGACGTGTGGCAAGCTGGGGTAACTGCTGTGGTTCCTGTTTCTCTTACACCCGGGGCAGAGACACTAGCAATTTGATTTTTGCTATTTTGAGACAGCATCTTGCTGTGTAATCCTGGCTGGCCTTGAACTTGATAAAACCAAGCTTGCTGCAATCTTGCTGTGATCCTATGTTTGTTTCTTGAGTGCTAGGATTTTATGTGTGTACCACCAAGTTTGGTCACAACATTTATTTGAAGATTGGCTTTGGCTAGGCAGTGGTGGTGCACGCCTTTAATCCCAGCACTCGAGAGGCAGAGTTAGGCAGATCTCTGTGAGTTTGAGGCCTGTCTGGTCTACAGAGCAAGTTCCAGAACACACTCAAAAGCTACAGAGAAACCCTGTCTGAAAACAAAAAACAAAAAACAAAAAACAAACAAAAGTTATCTTTGATGAGGTTGGAAAAACAGTTCAACAATTAAGAATGCTTGTTGCAGCTGGGTGGTTGTTGCAGTTTCAGGGGATCTGACAACCTCACACAAATGCACATAAAACAAAAATTAAATAAATTTACCTTCTTAGCCATCTTGCCCTATCTTGCTAGCCTTGGACAAAATACTTTAATACGAAGCTTATCCAGGGAAAAGTCTGGACTGTCCATTTAGCTGCATAGCTCTTCCCTACAGACTGAAATATTTTCCCTTGCCAGGAGAAAGGCATCCAGACTCAAGAGATCTGCAAAACTCCGCAGCAAAACTGTTTGAGGAAGGAAGGTTAATCCATATCTGTTTCATGTTGCCCTAGGACACGTTGATACTGGCCAGTCACATTTGCTCCTGCAAGTAACCCCAATAGATCTACTGATTCATCAAACTAGACTTTTATTCTTTTTTGGCCTGTGGTTGATACCCTGTCTAGGGGAAGAGATGTTTATTCATGTCTCCCCAGGAAGTCATGTAACACAGTTCCTAAGTGTCCTTAAATTTAGAGTGACCAAGAGAAGACATATATGAACAGCTATTGTGAACAAAACTGTACACTGAAACAAAATTTAGAAAACCAAGTTCACTTTTTTTTTTTTCCGAGACAGGGTTTCTCTGTAGCTTTT